ATGGGAAAGACAACTAGGCAGTGCTCTCCAGGCTTTGTGCAAAACCGGGAAGGAATGAGTGCAAACTGAGCCTGATTGTGTCGTCAATGGCAGCTGGGATCAAAACTTCCATCTGTCCCCGTCACTGTAAATTCTAATGAACCCTATCTTCATGGCTTTGGATTTTACTTATATTGTTCCCTCCATGTGAAATATTCAAGTTGAATTAATTCCTTCAGTTGCTTCGGTAATTCCTTCAGTTCCATCCGACTTAAACAATTTAAGTTGCTTGGTAAGTAATAACTGGTTTGTTGTTACACATGAATAGTATTAATAGCTGGACTCTTTTTTCTTAATGAATATAAGGGTCATGAACAAAGTATTGCTTGTGGGTGTTATCTGCCATCAGAGAGCGTGAGGAGAGAAATCACTCTGCATGGACTCAGCCCCACAAGAGCTTTCTGGGTGTTCTCCCCTCCTTGTCACGGGTGGCGTGGCTGTGGTCCGTGTGGCGTGAGAGCCTTGGAGGGTGGCCATTCGGAGTGCAAAATAATGTCACTTTCTTAGAAGGGGAGCAAGCTTTTGCCATGGACTTGGCATGATTTTTTGTGCGAGTTTCTGTGGGAATGATAGCATCTGCTGGAGCACTGGTAGTTAAAGATTTTAAAAACTGCTTGCTTGGTGTAGGAAATTATGTGGTTATTGAACAAAATGAGCTTTTATTCAGGTTTTTCTTTTCTCTCTATAATTTGACTTTTGTTAGAAAGAAGACGTATATACCCCCCTCCTTAGGGGGAAAAATCCTGATTGAAATTCGGAATGGGTAACACATACTCTGCCCTCCCTTCTTAGCCTGTCATTTATAAATGTCATCAGAACAGGAGTGGGGACCCAGGTGGCCCCAGCCCCAGTGCCACAGTCCTTGCTGAGCACAGGATGATCCGATTGGCTTTATATTTGAGGAAAGTGGTCACAACGGGAGTGTTTGCTTTTGGCCTTTTTTCTGGAAAGATTAACCTCATGGCCACGAAAGCCAGGGAATCTGAGGTTTGAAGGATCTCAGACGTGTGGTCAGTGATATGATGAGGTGGAAATAGGTGTCCTGGACAGAGCTCCCCAAAGTCATGGTGATGGCGCCAGATTTGCTACAGGGGGAATAGGGAAAGCTAATTGACTACTGCCTGGATGGCGGGGTGGGGGTGGAATTTGGCCACCAATGAAAAGTGTGGCACATACAGGCGAATGAGCCTGTCTTAGGCACAAGGAAGCTGCTTTTTGTCTGAGTGTCCAACCTGACTCTTATACAGCAGGAAAATTCATGTGTGTGATTGTGCATCTCTTTAGGAGCATGATCGTTACTGAACGTGCTTCTCTGCCATCATCTTAAACAGCAAAAGGTGAACTTTTCAGATGCTAGAAACTTGTTGGTCCAGCCAGAAAGTTTTTCACTGTTCCCTTAGGTTCGACTGGCCCCCTCTGATTTCTGAGTTGCTATACCCAACATCGTAGACATTCAGATGTTTGGTCAGTGAATAAATGGCCTCTTTCCCACAATGTGGCACTCACTGCCTTTCTGTCAGCCCCCTCCAGGCTCTCCTCTTCTGGTCACAGCACTAACAACCCCAGAAGCTCAGTACTTAAACCATCAGTGGCCTTCCCTATGACACAAGAACCATAGACGCTGGGCCTGGCTTGTGGGAACCTAAACCTGATGCCATGCACCGCCCCCTCCGCCCTTTCCGCCCATTGGACACACTGCTCACTCCTGTTTACCTGGAGAAGGGCCTGCAGTGAATCCTCCACCCAGGTAGTGGCTCTGGACAGGGGTTCCTCCAAATGAAATTGCCCTCTTGGGACTCTCAAGATGCGTGCTCACTTGCTGTGTCAGAGGAGCCACAGATTATGCCAGTAGGGACATTTTATTGGGCTTCTTAAAATATTCATTTCCTCCCTCTCCTCAACGCCAAGACAGACTGCCAAAGTTCTGGGTGACACTTTCCTGAGGATGCCCCATCTTGTCTCTGCTTGGTGTGGTCCCCCATTCCTGCATTCCTCTACCAAGACCATGCTCTGTGCTACCCCCTGTGTGCAGGGACAAGTTCTACGCCAGTGATGCTCCTTAAAGAGAAGCACTGAGCATGCGTTCCAGGTATATGTTTGGGAAGCCTGCCTGAAGAATGGTTGCCCTGTGTTCCTGGAGCTTTCTCAGAATGTGATGAGCTTCAGAGGGATAAATCTTAGAATGAAACCAAAAGTTCTTTCCATGAATTATTAGTACAGGCCTGGACATTTGAAGGGCAGACATCTTCATGTTCTTTACCTGGGCTTTACTTCAAGATGGGAGGCCTCAGAGGGACAAAGTTGCTAACAGGGATAAGGTGGGAGGACCCTGTACCTCTGGTGACTGGGGTTTCTTTCCCTTTTACCCCCATTCTCATCTCCATTGGAAGCAGACCTGCAAGAAAAATTAAGAACAGTTTTAGAAAGGATTGAAACTGCTTTTTCACTCATCCTAGCCAATATTTTCCAAAACACTCCTGGTTTCAAATATTCCATCCCTTTGCCCCATAAATCCCTAAGAATCTCTCAAATGTTCTAGAAACTCCCTCAACTACTGACATACAAGCTCCATGACTTTCCTGTATATAGAATCAGCATAAAATCCCCTTGGTTACACCATGTGTCTCAGTTCTGGCTTTAGGACAGGAAGTCGCCTGTAGTTAAAGCCTGAAACTTGGGGAGAGAAGGCTGGACTATTGAGGTTGACAGGCTTGTGCAAATGAACGAATAGCTTGTGATGAGAGTGATGAGTTTGGTGTGGAAGTTGAGGCTTTATGTAGAAAAGTAGGAGGCTCTTGAATTTGAAATCAGGTTCAGTAGAAACCTGCTAAGTGGAATTAGACTCAGCAGGTGGCTGCTGCTCTTTCTTAGAGAACAGACATGGAGAGGCCTGTGTCCCACCACCAGGCAGTGGGGATTGGCAGGGTGCCCTTGTTTACCGGGAGCAGTAGGTGATTTGGCCACCACTCACCCGAGTCTATATCAGCGGTTCTCAACCTGTGGGTTGCGACCCCTTTGGGGGTCAAATGACCCTTTGACAGGGGTCGCCTAAGACCATCGGAAAACACATATATAATTACATATTGTTTTTGTGATTAATCACTATGCTTTAATTATGTTCAATTTGTAACAATGAAAATACATCCTGCATATCAGATATTTACATTACGATTCATAACAGTAGCAACATTACAGTTATGAAGTAGCAACGAAAATAATTTTATGGTTGGGGGTCACCACAACATGAGGAACTATATTAAAGGGTCGCGGCATTAGGAAGGTTGAGAACCACTGGTCTCTGTCCTTTGGTGCGTCTGGCCAGTTTGGACAGGAAGTTTTGCTCTCCCAGGAGTCAGCTGGGTTCCCTCCCACTCATGTACACACAGGTTCCAGGGTGGATGGCATCGAAGTGACTGCACTCCAGAGGGGAAGTTGGGGACTGAGGCCTCAACGTTTAAAAGCAGGAGTTTCTGTAACTACCAAGAGATGCTCTTTATATTTTGTAATCGGATAGTAAGGCAAGCTCAATGGGGGTCTTCCTGCTTCTGTTCATTCCCCATATTTATTTGCATTTTTGCTTTTACATTGCAGGTAAACTAAAAGATCTTGGGAACTTGGTTCTCCGACCTTTTGGACTCTCCACAGAAAATTTCCAGATCAAACAGGATTCCTCTACTGGCTCCTACTCCATCAATTTTGTTCAAAACCCAAATAATAACAGATAACAGAGATAACAGTAACTTTTAAAGCTGGCTAGTAAATTGTGTGCTGCTTGCTGGTAGCAAGGGGAAAGGCCCTGCCAATGTTTACGTTCTAAAAGCATCTTATCTCAAAGGCCATCCAGTAGAGCCCAGTGCACCCTTATGTTTTGTGATCAGGGTGAAATGTACGTCCTGATGTAATGAACCTAATCTGATTTCCATTTTAAGTTGGTGTCTGTGCAGCTCTTGTCCCTGGTTCTAGCTGTCCTTTGTGTTGTCCAGGAGGAGCCTGTTAAGGCTGACCTCCGGAGCCATACAAACAGAGAAGCCCAGACGCCAGCTCTCCTGGACCCAGCAAACCTGGTCAGAGACTGCCCAGACATGACTGATGGGGGTCCTGCCTACTGCCCTCTCCCAGTCACACGCACTGCCCAGGCTGCCAGGCGTGGGCTCCTGATTTCCTCTGTGGTAATAAATGCTTTCTGTGACAGTCTGCGCCTGTGAATTTTGTCCCCATGACAGCTGAAGCAGGAGGCTTCTCTGGCTTTGGGAGCAGTGTTCAGGCAACATCATTGTTACTGGACTCCACAGATTTGCCCTAAGTCTTAGGGACCACCTTGAGGATGACCTTGAAAGAGTTGACCATTCTACCCTGTACTTGACTTCAGAAACCTCGAGCGTTGGCCCTTCCCAGGTTTCCAGATATTATGAAATCATTTTTTTTTGACCAAGCATCTCTTATTTTCAACTTAAAATAGCTTCATTCAGGAATGGTGATATGTGAATCCCAGAATAAAATATTCTTTTAGACTACGAGAACCCAGAGGTTTCAAAGGTAGGTGTTTATTTGGGGTTTTTATATTCATTAGTTGATGCTGGTGAAAAGCTTCCAGTTTTACTGGTTTGTGACAAAGGCAGTGCCATGTTTCATCTCAGAAATGAAGTACATGCAGAACTCTAAGTGACATGTTAAGGATTGTGCTGGTTCTTTGATCTCTTCTCAAAGCCCTTTAGGCTGTTGCTTTGTGGATAGTGCAATTATGTGCAGTATTGACTTTGATTTGCTAAGCTTATCTCCCAGATTGAAAAGAAATTCTCCACAGAATTTACTAGGGGAGAGGGAGAAAGAATGTTGCTAATTTTTTTTTATTCTTTTATGGTAAATTCTCCCCAAAAGGTTTGAGAAATCCTGCGCATGTACAGAAACATAAAACTGGGTGGTGCAGCATCAGTGGCAAGTGCTTCTTGCACGTCCATGTCGGGCTGGAGTCGTGCTCAGACCCCTTCCCACTCCAAAACATTTAAAGAGTATTCTGTTGATATGTACGTTAGAATTAAAACAAATTTCTTAAATATTTAGTCAATTCTTTAAAAGTAAATACATTTCATGTTAATATAAAAATTTCTAGAAAAAGATCTTCCAAATCAAAACACATTTTAATGAGTGACATCATTCTACATATTTGCAAATCTCTTAAACATGAGGCTTGATAGAAGATTCTCGTCACAGTATTACATCATGTTGTCTGGAAAATTCTGCATGCTCATGACAGAATGATGGTGAAAAAAAGCAGATAATCCCTTAATATTACTATGAAAATATTATGGACTATATTTTGCTTAGATTTGACTTGAGTTTAATGGCTGAGACTAAGCAAAGGTTGGGACTGAGATTCCTGAAGGATTAGCTGAGATTCCTCCAAGGAATAGGAATCTTGTTTGCCTAGAAACAGCCCTGGTGAAGACACTACCATTCCTGCAGGGTGTAGAGGTGTTGCTTTTTAGGCCTACCCCCCCCCACACACACACACACACACCCTCCTGAAATGGTACAGGATACCAAACAAGGCCCACATTAAATGCCTCTAGTGAGTGGGCCAAGTACTGTATATGGAAAGAAATGAAGTTTGCTTAAGCCTAGAAGTTTATATGTACCACTGTTATTTCTCTACTTCCAAAATCTGACGGAAAAGGTAGATTCAAACATTTTGAAAACATTTGACAATAGAAGAACCTTTAAACTGTTGAAAAGTAGATATTAGTGGAAAGAAAGAAGGTAGCCTGTTTGCCTTCTGCTGCTAAAGTATGATTTAAAGTTCAGTGATGCCTTCTTCCAACCAAAACAAGTATGCCAAAATTTACAGTAATCATACTGTGACATTGCATGTATTATTCCAGTGCTGTTGCAAAGGATCAAAATAATTTTGCATCTCCTTCTAGAGCAGTGGTTCTCAACCTGTGGGTCGCGACCATTGGAAAACACATATAGCGTATCAGATATTTACGATTCATAACAGTAGCAAAATTAGTTATGGAGTAGCAACGCAAATAATTTTATGGTTGGGGGTCACCACAACATGAGGTATTGAAGGGTCGCGGCGTTAGGAAGGTTGAGAGCCACTGTTCTAGAGTATTTTTGAAGGCTCAAAGACATACTTAATCTGCTTCCATGAATAGACCAAGAGCTCCTAAAAGGTAAGGGCCATATTTACATTCAAAATAGCACTGCTGCTCTACTAGAAACTTAGTTAGTCTGAAAGGACATTGTTCAATAAGTGGTCTCAATGTGAGCTATCACTACCCGAGTGTTCAGATTCTGTGCTCTTTATTTAGTACTGTGTTTTAAAATGTCTCCTTTGCTGCTAACCAATATGTTATCTCAAGATAAGTAGCAACTAGCTTTTCTCAAAACATTAAGATCCAGCAAGTGATTCAAATGTCAGCTTAGGTTTATGTGCTGCTTGTCACCTCCCAAAGAATGTGTGGGAGGCAATGAAAGACAACCTGTTGTCTTCAGCTCGTCAGGGCCCTTGTCTTGGGTTCCAGAGTTCAGTTTCTACAGTTTTTTGTATGCACAGGTGTGCAGCTCTGGCCACTTTGGAGGGCTCAGCTAGGATTTCTCAATAGTGAATTCAGTAATCGCAGCTTAACTTGTATGCGTGTATATGAGCGAAACCAATGGGCACAGATGGTGGGGGGGTGAGGGCTTGAGGGTGGCGGGGGGAGAGGTCAATGGGGGGAAAACAAGAGACTCGTAATACTTTAAACAATAAGGAACTTTAAAAAAGAGTTTGTAAAGAAAGCCCCTTAAAATCAGGTGAGCCCCATCCTGTGTAGCCATGTAGAATGTCCGCAGATACTGAAATGTTCAACCTGGCTTGTAAGCATGTCTTCTGATTTTTAAATTTTCAATTTTGCATCTTAGATATTTGTGAGGATTTGTCTTGGGACTTTCAAAAATCCCCAACTTGTCCTCTAGTGTCTACTTCCCCACTTTCTCCCAGATCACATTTCCATTGAATACCATGTCCTCTATATGTCCGCACTGTCTCTCAATCACCTCTCCAACTTTCACATGAGCAGCTTTTCCATCCACTGGAGCCTCTGTACAAGGCTTATCCAGGAAACTGGGACTGTTACTATAAATTCACACGAGCTAGTGGTTTCTATAGTTTTCTTCACATCATGGAACCAAAATTCTATTCTTGAAATCCAGCCTCTTCTAGAAACGACCCTCTGCATGTGTTTCCCTTCCATCACAAACAGTTCATCTGGGTTATTTCTATCCTCTGGCTCCATTACCCCTCTCCCCCAACATCCTATGGTTTTACAAGTTATTGTGCTTATAGGAAGAGACTGTCACACTGGGTGAGGAAATGCGAGTCTGGGGAGTGGCCGAACCTACTAATGACCTGGACATCGCAGCCCTGGGCCTACATCTGAGCTTCAGTAAAATGACAAGCCCTCACACTTGGACATTCAGATGGCTCAGGTATTGTCAAAGTCACAAATGTTTGTTTAATTCATAAATGCTGAGTGTATTTCTAATATTTTGCGTAGTTGAAGTAGGGCACAGCCCCCAGGAAATGTTGCTAGGCCTGGGATTATTTGTGGTGTGCCTCTGGTCTCTGAGCTGACCTCTACACGATTGCTGAACACCTTCAAACAGCTCTTAAGCTAAAATCCAGACAGAATCAGGAAGAGCAGACTTGGACTTTAGTGCATTTTACTATTTGATTTGTTTCCTGGGGGAACCAGCAGCAGGTGTTAAATGTAAACCTGACTAAAGATATATCAGCTCTGATGCCCCAGCTAAGCAGATCTGTCAATCTTGTCTTTTATAAACTGGTTTAGCAAAACTTCCTATTATCTTAAGCTTGCCCTTTAAATGAAGGGAAAGCCTAGAGCCCCAGCAGTCTCGTGGGTGCAGCCTGTGAACCTGCAGCCAAGGTGGCTGCCGTTCATGTTGCCTCCTGTGACCACTTCCCTCTCACTCCCTAACTCACCCGACTTCTCTAATACTCCTATCCGTCTACGTTGTGTGCTTGGTACATAGCTGCCACCTTAGAAAAACCTCCTTGGAGCAGTTTGAGCAACTTGTCTCTTTCAGCCTGCCCCCTCTGCACCACAGAAGTCACAGGCGACGTGTCCTTCTGTCATCTGGGTCCTTTAAAAAAGGAAATGTGTGCACGTTCTACCAGAAGTGACTAGAAAACCTGTTCCTTCAGGGAACTGCACAATTACAGCTGTACAGAGGAGAGAGGTGATCGTTTTCCAGTCACTTCCTATGTTGGGGGAGAGCAGCCCTTAACCAACACTAGACTGAGAATGGGAAATGGATCACTTGCTACTAGCCAGCCCAAGTGCTATGTTAAAAAATAACCACAGAGCCTAAGAATAACTGCTTACAACCCTTCAAGGGGCAAACTGGTTATAAAATTAGTTTATGAAAAGTAGTGACTAGGCTGCCCTCATCTTTAAAAGCATCAGAAATTTCAGTCTTCCTGGCTACAAGCTGGTTGAAACTAGGGATGGGTACATAGAGTTTGTTATACTGCTGTACCTCTACAAATGTCTGAAATATTCCACAACAAAAATATGCCATTTTCTTCTAATTTTCCAACCCTCACATCCACCATCTAGAAATAGGCTCCATCACACGGGTTCTGTCAGCCAGAACTAGAAATAGGACGCCCCACTTTCTTCTTCCTTTCACTCAAGGAGAAACTGGAAGCTCACATTTTCTTTCCCTTTAGCTAAACGCAGGGCTTGTTGCCCCACTGCCAAGGAAGCCCATAGCTAACAACGTGTGGCCGTGACTCAGTCCCAGCTACTAGTTTCTGGCTTGCTGAAAAATACGGCCTATCTCAATGGCAACTCCTATCGGACACTGGGGCTGCTATGCTCAGGTATCACGACAGATGTAGACGACAAGACTTGTAGGAATGGTTTGATGGTCCCAAAATAGAATGCTATTTGCCTCGCAAAGTCAACTGGAAGGAAAGGTCTGATAACTTCCTAGGGCTATGTAACACTTGTATTGGGTTCTGCCATTGGCGGAGTTGGCAAAGGCTGGAGCTTCAGCTGCTGCTGCAAAAGCTTTTCCAGTCCGTCTTCTACAGATGTGAAAGCAGCTGCGTTTAAACATGTGAGGGATAGCCCCGTCACTGCCTTCTGTAAGGTGGTTCTGTCTTACTCAAGGCCAGCTATGCTCTTCTGGGGCCGGACACAGTCGTCTCCCTCCACTTCTTCACGCTGCTGATCCCATTCATCTTCTTTAGAGCACAGGTTTCTGCTTTGACTTAAGATGCACAGGAGTTAGGGGATGAGCTTAGAATTCTAAACACAAGATTGTAGAATATTTCGTTCAAGTAAAGATTCCCTTGTCTCCCATGTTTTGGGCCTTAGCTAAGGAGAAAAGGAAGGGCTTGAGTGAGACACTTCTTTTCCGCACCCCATTTTAGCCAGTGCAGCCAGGCCTGGTTCTTTTGCAGGAAGATCTTGGATAGAACTAAGATTAGAACCCACGTCATCTTTCTCTTAATATCACCAATGTTAGAAGCTTCTACTCACATGCCTCACGAGGGAATAATGAAAGGGCTAACCCAGAAGTGTCCTTAACTCTTAAGGACAATAACCTAGCCTGTGTTTGGCCAGCTCTTCCTTCCTCTGGCACAGTATTCCTGAGTTGTATCTTCTTTCAGCCCAGGTTCATTACCTTCTTGACATCTAAGCAAAGGTGTTGTTAGGTTATGAAATTTCATTGTGAATAAGCAGAGATTTGGCAAGACACTCATCACTAGAGAAAAGTATGCTTTAAAAACACAGCATGCTCTATTTGACTACTGAGGGAGGTATCATTACTTGAAAGAGAAAAATGAGCTATAAAAGCAGTAAAACAGCTTCTAGCCACAGTGCATATTTGCAGTGACATACCCACCATGCCCAGAGAGGTGCTGGTACAGTCCACACGATTCCAGGGCATGAATAAGGTCCTAAGTGTATGCATGGGTTGCATCCCTCATTCCCTGTATCTGGTAGGAGTTGTATCTGTAAACATACTGGCACACGTCATGACACCATCAGGTGGATACCATGGTATGGAGGTAGGGGGGAGATCTCGTGTAGGCCTTCCAGATCTTGAGCTCATGGCTTATTTATCTTCCCTGGTTCTCTCTACCTCTCTTATCATTAGTGAGAAACTTGAGGAAGAAAAGATATTACCAGATTCCAGTGGCCTCCTTTCTACACTCATTTAGATAAGCTGAAATGGGAGAATGTTTGCAATTAAAGACTCCATGTATACTCTGGAAAAACTGGCAGCCTTCCAAAGGATTGCTTTACACAAATAGGGGGGAGAAGCGGGGGAAGAACACTGCCCTAAGTTTTTGGGTCGGTGCAGAAAAACTTCAATTGTCTGGTAAGTTTTAAGAGGCTACTTTTTCCCTGACAGCTGAGTGGTTTCTGATCAAACACTTGACCTCACTTTCACATTGGATGTGCTGGGCTTTTAAAGAAGCAACCATTTATCCACAAGAGCAGGACTCCTTTAAACAAACAACCCACCAGTAGATACTTGTTTCCATCATTCACATTCCTCCAGCCTTAGACATAAAGAAGTCCCATAAAATCCCTCCAGTAATTAAGAACTTAGAGGTTCTCCTAAGGCAGCAATGCTACTTAAAACAGCTCCTTAAAGGACAACTAGTGGTTGAATTTCAATAACCTTTAAAACCTAACTCCTAGAAAGTAAATAGTTTATAAATAACTAAATTGTTAAAAATATCAAGACTTTATTGGATGTTACACAACATTCTTTTAACATTTATGTCTCAGCATACTTTAGATGAGAAATTTGTCATTCAAGTCTACAAAATGAAATAGGCTTCTGAAGATTTGAAATACAAAGGTAGCATGAAGCATAGCTTAAATATTAAGCAACTAAAGCAATGAAAGTGAAATAGCAACATGGTATGTCCTAGATTTTAAATACCAAGTTTCATTTTTTTTTAAATGAAAAATCTGGTTTATAACAAAACACCTTTTGAGAATTTATCGTGAGAAAAAATAGGTCCTTAAAGCCTGATCTCTCAATTTTTTTGCCTTTTATCATTTCCATCACTCTGCACAAATAATGCTAAAGCTTACTTAAAACTCTTGATTATACAACTCACATGGCATGAGTTGTCTGGTTCTTGAAGGGAGTTTGGAAGGTACTGCTGGTGGTAATACAGCTAAAGACAAGATGGGCAGAGAGTCTGGTGCCACTGAGGCCTGTAATCTTTAGACTCCCTGCTGGCATAGTTCCTGAGCTTTTTCAGATTTCATCATATGTATAATGACTTCATGATAAATACTTTCCAAAAAAGACAATTTTAGAATGCAGTCACAACTTTTAATTACTTACAGTGTAATTAGGATTTGTATTCAACTCACAGAAATGAGAGTGCCTACCTTTTCTTCTTGGAGTTGTGAAACAAGTCCTTAGGTATATTAAATGTCCTAAAACTCCCCCCAGAACCTTTTATTAATCCTGAGTGTGGAGTTAAGTAATTCCAAACCTATACAGTAAGATTATGGAAAGTTTGAACACTTAAGCCAAATGCTCAGTTATGTTGCTTCAAATGAATTGTTTTTTGGCTTTTTTTTTTTGTATTAAGTAATCAATAAGGATTATCTTTCAGGTTTAAAAAATAAATTGGTATTGCCACTAAAAAACCTCAGTATTTATTATTAAAAGTACGGCACCATCAAATATAAAATACCTTAAAAATGTAGCACTAACAGGTCAATCTGGTTATCTCTGCTCATTAAAAAAGAAAAATTAAGGGTTTTTATAATACGTATTTTCCAAAGGTAAGAATTCATGAAAAGCCTGACACCATCTTTTATGGGTCTGTTTCTGCTGCCAGTTCCCCAGGCACAAGCCCCACCTGACACCTGTAAGAATTTCTTGCACTTAGACAGAAAGAGGAGCTCTCTGGAGGGAGAGCGCCACATCAGAATTCAGATTTTTCACCTTTTGGGATCTAAATAAAATTAACGATAGGAAGAGTAAATGCCTTTTCAGCTCAGTAGATTTCAGAACTAGATCTCAGAATATACACCACTCTGAGATCAACACTAGCCTATCTACTCTGACTCAGAATTTGAAAGAATGGGGTTATGAAAATGTGCACAAAATGGTAAAATACTGGTGGCAAATAAATACATCTTAATATGTATGAAGGTAATACAGCCCTGCTTTATGAAAGAAAGGTCCAAATTTTCAGGGTGGGTGGGGTGGGGGTACCTTACCATCCTTTTAGGATGATGTTAAATCTTTCCTGTCGTTTCCAGGGGCACCCTGAAGGGAAACACTGGTCTCAGCACATGTGACCACTGGTTTCACAGGCGAGTCATTTTAGAAATACCTTTGCTCATATCTGAACTGAGTAACATAAACCTTGGAGAAAGAACAAAATTTTAGTATGAAAGATAATTCAACATTTCTGCCATCATCCCATGCCTTTTAGGTCTGTCCAAACTCCTGATAAGAACTTCACAATCAAAAGAACTGTCTTCGCACATAAAATGAGTTCTTCTGTGCGTATTTCACATCACTTTTCTCCTCATCTCATGCATAATTTATTGCAATAGTTTAGTTTGTTTTAGAAAACATTCCCCTAATACCTTTTCTTCGGTTTACTATAGCACAATTTACAGGTGCCCTTTAGAGACTGTTGGTTTCAACCACTGCCTGAACATTTACTTCTTAGTGCAGCTTTAAAAATCTGAGTCTCCAATTTCATTCAATCCTGGTGCTCTGGTGTTCTCTGTGTCACTGTGGTACAGGTCCATGAAACCAGCAGTCTGCTAATGTCTTTGTGCTGAAATATAGTAAAGAAAAGGAAGAAAATGTAGTTAAGCACAAGTAATTATATGAGAAAAGTGATGTCCTTGTTTAATTAAGCCCTATATAGATTTTGTGAGATCACAACTGATTTTTTTCTTTAAAATCAGTTAAACTTGACCAAACAACTTACTGCCACTCTAAACCAGCAGAAGCATTCGTGTTCCTTCCAACAGAAATGAAATGGTTGTCATCTTCACATTATCAATCTGCACTTGAAAATTTCTAAAGAAAGGGAACTGTAGCTTTGTTCTTTACACTGCATTTCACAGGTTACAACACAAAGCTTTGTGAGCCAGCTTAGCTGCTGTGTACTGCTGTGAAGCACCAGCAGCCTGGCTTTAGCACAGGCTACCTGCAGACCTTAGAAGCATTTATATACAAAACTTGGCTATGTCAAAGTCCGCTGCAGATCACACTGTCCACACATGTACCAACAGCAAAAAAGAGGAGGGTGGGGGGTGACTCCCCAGAGGTAGACTTGAACATCAGAGGCATCAAAAGAGCACCATTGTGTCCTAGAAGACAACTTGTACACTGGACTGACCAGTCCTCCTACAAAAAGCAGGACTCTGAACAGAACATTAGAAAGGACAAGGCTTATGAAAATTACTACCAATACCATAACCAGAATGCCTAACATTCCAACCTGCCTTTAATACCAGAAGTGGAAAAAACACCACTGAAATCCTCTATAATCCCCAGTATCAATAGGAGTTTGACTTCCAAAAGAGGTGATCTGTGGAGAGAACAATGAGTTTTTTGGTCAAACATATTTTTAAACCAAAGATGAGGTATTTTCAGTGTGATAACAGACAAAACAAATACAGAATGTAAAAATAAAAGAAAAATCCCCATTCTTCCCAATATTTAACTTCCAAACATTTCACAGTAAGCGTCTTTCCCACTCTTAACATGGAGAAAGAGTTCTGGTAAATTTCCAACGGTTGCCATGCTTCATTCACTTACTGAATCAAAGCCTGTAAATAAATTCCACAGGGCATTCTATCTTCCTAAGAAATGAAAAATTACTTCTAGCCATAAACACAGCACACATCAGAGTGGAAGGTGGGTGTAGTCCTTGCTTCTAAAGAACCAGAATGATTAACACTTAAAATTTCACATTCAGCTAAGACCAATGTTTATTTTCTAAAACTATTATACTATAATGTAATACTAATATTCAGAATTATACTAATATAATACTCAGAACTTTGGTAGTAAATATCCTTTTTATAAATTTAAGGAGAAAAATAATAACTAGCTAATCCCATGTACATTTCCATTTCCTATTTATAACTGTCAATATTTGGCTTCAATCTGAGTGAGGCCTATTCAGGTCGGCAGGAAAGTCAAGGATTGTAGCAGATCTTACTATTCATACGACAGGTGCAGAATAAAAACAGACGCTATTCCCTCAAGAGATCATTTTAAGGGTAGCTGCCACCCCTATACAGGTAAGAGTCCATAATTCCCCAGCCTCAACCTCTGATCCAAAATGTGCCATTCTGACCCAGCTTGCACATTACAGCTCATGCAGCAATGCAGCCCAACGAATAGCCTTAATTCAGAAAACAAAAAAAAGATCACAAATTCAAAAGCAGCACAACGGAATCCCGAAACCTTTCCTCCCGTTTAAGAGACCAAAATAAGCCTTTCAGGCATTATCCAAAGTTTTCATAAATGTGCTTAAATAGATTACAACTACACTGCCACATTCTTGCCACCCACTGAGTTGTAAATGAGTTTTGAGATTAACTCAATAAGAATACATATATGAATATATATATTCTTATATATACAGTAAGAAGAAATGACTACAAAATTAAAGTAATGAATATAAAAGTGAGAAAGATTGAGATAGTGAAAAGATAAAGGAATCCACTATTTGATCATCCATGGAGGCTCAGTTGCTCTCCGGCATAATTCTACAATCTGACACCCAACTTCTACCACCATAGGAAAAATTCCTCTCAATTCATGGAAGCTCGAAGGAGGATGGCTCTACTTTTTAGCACAGCAGGTAACACGAAATGAAAAGTTATTCTGACTCATTAAAACGATCGCCTACATGAGGGATACGCAGCTACCAATGAAAAGCTAAGGAAAAAGAACTAATGAATTTTTACATCTAGCCTCATCTACTTTGGAAATGATCAAGTGATGACATGGTGCCCTCTTCACTCTGGCAGAGCTGAACACAGACAGACCTGCCCGTCTCACTGTTAACGTCAATGCTCCCAGTCTGAATCCACAGTGGTCTGTCAGACACTGTAAGGGAGCAGCAGGATTCGTCACTGTCTGATGTAATAGCTGCCATTTGTTGAGACCTATGGTAGAAAAAACCAAGTTAACAAAAGTAGAGAAGTCATTTGAGTTCTTTTTAATCCATTTTACAAAAAAAGATTTTTTAATCTGACCAAAATTCAGTGGAATTTTCATAATGAATTTATTCTACATAACTTACTGGCTTCACAAAATGTGAAGCTTTGGTTGTAAACCAAGGAAAACAGAGGTGTGTACACACCAGCCTTAGCCAGGCGAGGGCACTCTCTGGCCCAAGTCAATTCAGCAGCAAACTGCCTTCAGGCACAACCAAGATGCTGCCATCCAATGCTAACTTGCACTTAACGTTCCTGACAAAACTTTTACTAGCCTAGTATTGGAATAGTCTTGGAATAGTCCTGATCTTAGCATTCAACAAGGGCTGAAGTCTCCATCCCTACCACATCACAACATTAATGAGACCCTGTTTTGCAGAATGACCAAAACGTGCCTAACTCCCTTTCTCCTTTAATGCCAATGACCACTTGTGCATACTATTCAGGGACCTGAATCAATGACTCAATATCTACTTAACACAAGTTTAACAAGATAAGCTTTCTCAGAAAAGGCATTCAGAACAGAGTCTTCAAATACTAAGCATAATTCAAAAGAAAGATTGCTATTTCAAGCCTTATTTTTTAACACAGTAGTATTCGCTTGTCTCCTTAATTCCCTACTTTAAGTATTAACAGATCATCTATCAAATCACTATAGTTAACTGTGGGGTCATTGAGTTAAAGAATGTTTGGTCCTTATAATATTTTTTAAATGCTAAGTTAAACCAGAAGCAGTAACATATCAAAACTTAAAAAGGCTTTTCTGACATTGAAAAGGATAAATTTTATACGCCTAACCTATAAACATAATTCTGAATTTTAACAGAGAACTATTTCCTTAAATGAGGCTTAACAATGAGATTTTTAGCTTTTTGTTCAAAGGAAAACCTAAATATACTACTACAACCCAACAGCAGTCACACCAAGAAGAAAAGGAATCTGAATACACAAGAGAATTTCTTTTCAACCTCTCCCTCCCTAAGTAACACCTTTTAGGTTTGAACAATCATTCTAAAGAACCTCCTACTCCATTTTAGGCCAAAGTCAAGAATCTGCATCAAAGAATGACCATCTTTCCCTGCGCATTGCTACCCGCCCACCCCCCCACACACAAAGGCTTTTGGGGTCTCAAGGTTCTTTAGATATTGACCACACCTACAAGATCCATTAGGAAAAGCCAGGGAGCCCTGACTGGTACAGTAAATGGGGGGACACCCTCCTGAAAGCCATTTCATTGGAATGACTTATTTTGTTCATTAAGTCAAAGCTTACATGCAACAATGTAAGGCAACCGTTCCTGGGAGGCAGCAGAGATAAAAGGACAACTCAGAACAGGGTAAGCAAACACTCGGCCTCCTTTTTGGATGCATGAAAGAAGGAAGCAGAGGTCATACTCTTAGAGCAAAGCCCAGAATGAAAAACTAAAGAATTAAGATTATGTACATGCACCTATCATCTTGCTGAACACTCAACATGAATCTTCTCTTAACACTTTAAGCACCAAGCCTGTTTTGTTTTCCTTTCTGTTTAGCCCACGTTACCCGATTTCACCGATATGCTGGCGGCACCAGTGACTGACCGGTCCGGCGGAATGTATAGTATCAGTCACCAGTGACTGACATGACAATTTAGCATGCTAGAACATGAACAAACAGATAAAAACATCAACACAACAGACATTCTGGCGTCTAGCCTTAGTATTTTTCTAACCAGAACATTAGGAGTCACACCTAGATGTGACAGATTTCCTTCAAAAAGTTAAATTGTGGAGGAAAATCAGTTTTGTAATCAGCATCTCAAAAACAAGCCATGAGTAAAAATGACTACACTCTGGAGAACATGGCCACGGATCAAGACCTTGGAATGTGAAGTATTTCCCTCCTAGAAAGGGGAAACAGCTCTTACTAAATCATACGAACAGCAATAAAAAATGACAGGGGAGGGGAGGGATGAGAGGAAATGTTCAAATTCATGTCCACTTTTCACCATGCCGCAAAATATTAAAATAATGAAACACCATGGTCCCAGGGGAACACAGCATCTCTGCAAATCAGCTAGTTTATAGTACCCAGAGCTGACAAGGGTAGCTTTGTGGTTCTAATACTTTTGGAAAACTCTGAGGAGGACCTCTACCCTGCTGACCCCCCCCTGCTCATTCAAGCCTCTCTGAAAGGATGTGGGAAATGCCAGGCTTCTGAAATGGTGACTGGTCCTTAGTACACATCTGTGTCTGAACAAGAACCCCTCTTCCTCACTCACAAGTGGACTATCATCTCTGCTATGTCAGGCCCTGTGCTTGGCATAAAAGAGGAGAAAACCCCCAAGTAATAGACTCCTGGGATTTATGTGATCCGAAAATGAACGGGGCAAGTGTTGAAATGTTAATACACTTCTCCCTTCACCATAAGTCCCTTGACCTCCAACCCAGCAGCCCTCCACATGCCTGCTGGAAATAACTCATACCTACTTATAGATATCTGTGGATGATTACACTATAATTATTGTTATTTTCATATAATGTTGCTATAACATTTCTTTCATTTATATTCAGTATGTTGCAGGATATCAAAAGTTACCTGAGCTCTGGCTGGTGTTT